CCCCCCCATGACGGGTTCATTTTGAAAGGTCTCTATTCATACCATCTTGAGGGTGCACAAGGCATAGAGCTTGATGAGTCCGTGGAAGTAGCCGAAAAGAATGGACACTGGTAAAAACACAACGTCCCTAGGGTGTCTCTTGAAAAGCCCTAGTAGTTTGACCACCTTGGTGAAGGCGAACACGAAGACGAAGTGTGCCCAAAAGGCCGCCGCACGGATCTGAGGATCCCAGCCAGCAGTGCCCTTCCAAAGGGCGACCATGATAAGAGGGTCGAACAGGAAGGCGAGGGAGGTGAACGTCGCAATATGTAGTGCATATGTGCACCATGCCTGTTGACTGCAGTTGTACAAGAGACTTTGTTAATCACGATCGAATGTGGATCAGAAACGCGGGCTACCCCTGTCTGGTGGGGCCGGAGGAGAAACGGGAGAGGGTGGAGGGAGGGTTGATCGAATGAGGTAAAGGATGGGGGGAACAGGGAAAAGGCGAAGTAACCATGGGTGGAGGGTAAAAACGAGAGAATAGCAGGGGTGGTCCCTGTCAGCTTAAGCGGGGCAGGACTCACGTCAACACATATCGCTCAGTGACCAAGCTGGTCCAGTTGCTGCGCCAGTTGCTCCTCGCCCATCGAGAGCACTGGTAAAGGAATTTCGTGCTGTTCTCCAGCGTTGTCTCAATCTCGCACTCGGGCTCGTACTGGATCCACGTCTTCCACTGGTGGCTGACCAGCCAACGAGTCACAAAGTTATCGTCGTCCGCATTTAGAATGTAGGGGCCCCATTTCTCCGTTTTAAATCCCTCGAGGAAGTCGTGGCTCGAGAGGATCTCCGATCGATAAGCGCCCGTCCTTCCAGACATGCAGGATGTGCCGCCGTCGATGTTGTGCGTTGCCGAAATCTCAAAGTTTCGTCGTTCAATGTAGGCTGCGCCTAGCCAGTTGAAGATGCGCGTCGACAGCGACCCTTCCCGGACACGCTTCACTCTCTGGCAGGTTCCCACACCACCCATCTTAGGATCCTCAAAGGGAGCCAGGATCCAAGGAAGCAGAGTCGAAGGCCACGTAACATCATCATCGGCCATGATCGTGATCTTCGTCGTCACCTTGGGCAGCGCTTCGCAGACCTGAAGGCGCTTGTTCGCAATCGGAGTGGAGAGCACCTGCACATTGTGGTGAGGCAAGGTGCTTGCGAGCTTCTCTAGCGCATAGTGCTTGTCGGTGGTCGTGACGAGCAGAAGGCCGTAAGGCTTGCAGGCCAGAATGCTCTCAAGAGAGGGCCGGAGCTCCTCGAAAACGTTATGGATCGTAGGAATGATGACGGTCACGTCGTCTGATGTGAAGGTGGGCTTGGCTGGTACGGGTTTCGACTTGTATACCCAGTGGCTAACGCAGTGGACGAAGAGTCGGAGGTACCGGTGTATCCTATGTCCAGTTCACGATCAGCAGCGAGCAATAGAAAGAAAAGAGGACGGCAAAGTTCCGTCCTGTAGATGAGATGCGACTTACCAGAGAAATACAAATAGGTAGAACCAGCTGGTGGGAGTCCACCATAACCCGAAACCGGGAAATATGAAGCTGGGAAACATGGCGATGTTGATGTTGACGTGACTACACGCGTGCCGAATGTATAGAGTCCCGTGAGGAGTAGTGGGACCTCTCGATGGTCAGAGAATAAAGCCAGGAAGATCGAGTCTCAACGACTTGAGAGTGGCTCCTGGAATTTTCGTTGTCGGTCTGTCTTTGATCGGTGCGGTCGTTCGCAGCAAATTTAAAGATTTCGGCGTTGGTGCAGGTAAATTCTCCTCTTGCCACCGTTTCTTAATGACTGAGGACTGCCCGTAAATGTTCCTAAATGTTGTGATTCGATGTTCCCTTTCCTCCCGTACTGAATCAGGCGGACAGTCCCAGTGCTGGAAGGAACAGAGTGTCAGGTCCGGTGATTCAGTGAGTGAATCGGTCGAGCAGTCCCTAGTCCTGGCGAGGAAGCTATCGGAATCCACCAACAGCGAGCGTCGAACTTTCGAGGTATCAACGGATTAAAAAAACGATCGTTAATCACACCTGTGATGGGCGTGAAGCGAAAAGCAGGCCAAGAGATGCCTGGTGCGTTTTCTTGGTCACAAGGAACTGCACTCCAGTCGTCTCCAGGCTCTGGCCGGTGTATCGGCTAGTCCGGTTGACGTCCAATTGGTTGGAGGGGGGAGACAAGAAGACTAGATGTCGTGTGCTGGAATCAAAGAGCCGCAGAATAAATGCTGGTAAAGCGAGCGGAAACCAACACCCAAGATCTATTGGATGCTGTGTCAGGGACGGGTGCCGAGCCGTCCAAGAGATGCAAAGTATTATACAGAGCCGAGGAAAAGAGGATGGAGGAAACCCAGCCATTGAACCACCAATTGGCCCAAGGAAACAAAAGAAAGAAAAAATAAAAGACCCGAGAGAAGAAGAAGAGAGAACGAAGGTCTGGTGACAGGTTGGAAGCGCATTGGCAGAGCGGCGATAGCTTGGGATATATAGCCACCTGTGCTTCGGGGATGGCCATGCGCCATATGCCAAGGCATCGAGGCGGCCTTAGCGTGATGGGGTGTCCAAACAAAGAAAATAGGGGTCGAGGCCGAATGTACGTCAAGTATTCTGCAGGTAGTATGTCCGACCCTCATGTGGAAGATGAGGTTGACTGGAGACCACGACCATGAAAGAAACACATACAACGTATGTATGTACGCGCATGGCTCTCAGGGTATCAGGAAGCAAGGTAGCGATGTAGGAGGGGATAATAAAGGTGGCAAGGGGGTCTGGTCGACAGGGGGGGGGGGGGGGGTATAGCTTTGACTGTTGAATCGAGGAGAAAAAGAGAGAAGGGGAAAAGGACGGGTGGGGTGCGCGAACGATGCGGGCCAGAACTAACAAGGGCCTGCAGCAGCCGGACATACAGGAGGTAGCGAACGAAGTACGAGGCAAGTCGGGGAAGACGAAGCAAAAGCGCCAACCGGAATCATCCTTTCTTCCTTCGCTGCCAATCCCGACATGGCCTCCTCAACCAATGCTACAGTACTTGAAGGGATGCATAGACGAGCATGATAGGACAAAGAACCCTGCCCCGTTACGATGCAGCCTTGCCTTTCAGTTGGTCTCGGAAGAGTATCGAGCATCGACTATCCCAATCGTCTCGAGGAAGAGAAAAGCCAGTGCTCTCCTCTGAATGCTGCCAGGCAACTGGGGCTGGGGAGCGAGGATAACTGGATCTCTCGGTCGTTTCGTAGGCTTCTGAATGGTCAGAATATCCCGAGGAACGGTAGGCACGAGGGCGAGGACGACCACCTGGCTATCAGCAAACCCCGCAGACAAGGTAATCGACGAAGAGGGCCCTGGCCTCGGAGCGGTTATATGGGTCTAAGCGCGCCGCTCCGTTCGAGGGGACGAATCTTACGAATTTCTGAAGCTATCGACCTCGTTAGCCTTGGTGCTAAATGGGGACAGGGTCCAGCTGAGGTACGGAGTGGTCAGTCATCCTTATCCCATACGGCTAGACCACCGCTTGCCCCCTCAGCATTGGACTTGGAGGCGGCAGGTGTGGGGCCACCAAAGCGAATCACTCGCCATGGCGATCTGGTGGGGAAAAGTTCAACCCTGTCCACAAGACCTTACCGTATGTATGTACAACGTGCAGTAGGTAGTGTAGTGTAGGGCAGGAGGAAAACTACGATCATATAACCTGGTCGAGCACTTCGCCAATGCAAATACGAAGTAAATGTTGTAGAAGTAGGAGTAGTGTGACGAACAAAAGCTCAGACATTTTGGCCAGGACAGAATACCCGTCTTGACGGCCTAGGGAATTGGTCCCAGCGTGTCAAGCCGAAAGGGCAGATAAATGGGGCGAAGAAGAGCCGTAACCGGGGCTTGTCGTGGGGCCGATTTGTCAGCAGCGATGCATTAATATGAAGGATTTTCAAGCTTTCAAGACGACCAGGCGCAACTCTTCTCTGGGGATGAACAATACTGGGAGGCTCGCTTGAAAAGTCGACTTGGGGAGGCCGGAATTGGACGCAAGCGATGGCCATAACTGAAGAAGCTGCCCTGCAGTAGCAGGATCTTCGTGCGGGGGAGTATGAAGCTCGCGGGACTCCGTCATGATGCCATACAGCCGTGCATTCTGTCTCCGGTGTGGAGCCTATGGGGTGCGGGCCCTACAGTAGTTATTCCGTGGAGCGTCTCGGTGGGCAGGAGAAGAAGGTCGGAACAGAGTTGTGTTAGGGTTCGAAGTCTGATATAGCTGGCAGTCTCATTGTGGTATCTGTGGGTTGAGTGGGATGTTCGTTGGTTGGGTCATGAAGTCATGAAGCAGATACAGGCTGTGTTTCCGACGTCGAGAGAAAGCAAATGGCGACGCATTGTCGACGGCAGGTCGCGCCGTCTGATGAAAAGGACCGCAATTTGAGATCTGACAAAAAAAGTTGGTGCTTGCGCGGGTGTACATACCCAAAGTCTACGCCACGCATCCCGGGGAGGGGGTGCATTTCAACAGATGTGAGTGTCTGACGTGTGGGACGAAAAAATACATCAAGTGAGAAAAAGAACCGATCTGCCAACAGCGAGCCAAGAATGGCTGGGGTAGACCGAGGAAAGGGCTTGCTGTTGGTCAGGCTAGATATCTCCACCGTCCGTCCACCGAAAAGATAGTCCATCTCACCTGGTGGTTTCCGCAACGGCCCGGGGTGGGCCCGTTTCGAGAGAAAACGGATCAATTGATTGATTAAGGGTATAATAATTAGTACTTTGCTGAAATAAGCCTCAAGAGTACCGAGTCGACGTACAACGTACATAATAACCATTGCCGATAGAGCTGCGATCTGTGACGGAAACTGAGACGAGGAGGTGGAGAGCCTCAGAGCAAATTAAACAAGGAAAATATATATATAGACGACCATGGCGGGTGTTACGGTATGAAATTCAATGACGTATGTATTGAGGCTGTATAAGGATGATGCGTACCTTCCGAACCTAGTCGGGCGGTATTCTCTGTTGGAATCTAAACGGAGAGGAAGCAATTATATAATTATACCTAGGTCGAGTCGTGTCGATTTTTCTCACACAGATAAGCTACATAGGTATCCAAAAGCATTGCGGATGCGTATATGCTGTGTGTGTGTTACGCCATGTACATTTCTCTTATTATACCTACCCGGGTTTAGGGGGACAGAGCCCGATAACTAGTCAGTCTGTGGAGAGTCTTTGAACATCATATCAACAGAAATTTCTCTGTCCTGGCTCTAGTCAGAGCAAAAGTCTCTATTCGAGCTCTGACCTACCTTATAAATCCCCCCTCTGGGGTAGGTATTGAGCAGTGTTGAGAATGAGCTATGGACAAGAAAAGGCCGGATGAATAAGGTACCACCACATCCGCATCTTATCCGTCTCATTCCTACTATCATCACATGTCTGTTCCAGATTCAGAGCTGAGTGCTATCTCCGGATAGTAGGAAGGCTCGATGAACCCGGATGATATCGACCACTGTTGGGTAAAATAGGCACAAACGTACTGATACGCACAGGGAAGTCTCACCGTAAGGTAGGGGTAGCTGTCGACGGATAGTATCCATCTAGCGATATTCCGTACCGTACTATTGACCTTGCTTTGTGTGCCTTTTTTTTTTTTTTTTTTTTTTTTTTTTTTTTTACATAGGTACACTGAATAAGCATTGTTCGTTCTCATACTCTTTCTTACTCAGTACGGACACCCGTATCCTGTTTATCTCCCGTCTCTCCGATACCGGAACAGAGCATGCATACATATACGTCGTACGGATACGGATACTCTTACAGAAGATAAGGTACCTACCTCGCCATGCATACATACATACATACTAATACCTTGATAGTCCGTCCATGGGGGCTCAAAAGCGTGTTACGTAGTAATGAATTACCTACGAGGCTGAGGCTAGGTTGCCATCGAGCTCCTAAAGCAGTTAATACCCCGGGAGGCAGGACCGGGTCCACCTTCCTTCCAGGAGCAAATTCGAACTGGGATGGTCCCCATCGTTCCTACCTTTGACCACCAGAAAATTTCTATTCCCGCCCAATTTCCCCGCATGTCCACTCGTTCGCACCTTCCATGACATCTTCGCATTGTTCGAAGTACGGAGTAGTGCCTCTATAGGTAAGGTAGGTACCTTACCTGTACAAGGTACTCCGTGCCTTGCGCGTCATTGCATGGCATTCGAACCGCAGTCGCAAACGGACAGGGCAGGCGTGTTACAACAACACAGCCTTCCAGGCCCTCGGTCCGTCATACCTTTTTACCTTACAACGCGCATCTCTACCCCAGAACTACGGCTTCAATCCATCGAGTGGTGATCATCGACACAACACTCCCTCTTATGACTGCTTTATTGCCCCTGTTTTGCTATTTTGACTACTGCATGTTATTTCTACTTCCCAACGACTTGGAAACCCTGTCGACGACGAGGACAGAGCACGGAATAGAACCCGCAACTGCACGCCCACTGCCCACTATTACCGGCTGTTTACTGTCCAATCCGATCGAATCTGATCCAGTCCACCATCTCTTCATTTGATCTCCAGCTCCTATTTTAGTTCGTTTGCGACAGATCCTAGACCACTCGCATCAGAATTCAGAGTAGGGAGCAGAACCAGAGTCGATGTAGCCGTTTATGCTGATTTTCGGTGGCAGCACGCTGGCTCCCCAGTGATTGTGATGACAACATCCCGGCGGGCAACTTCAGTTCTGGTGTCAAATTGGACCTCCCTTGGACCATGCTGCACTGCGGACTTCACTGGTGCGCCCCGCTAGTTCGCGAACACATCGAGCGACTCACTCAGCTTCGAATTGACCGCAGTAACTTGGATTACCAATGTCGGCCATTCTTTTGTATATGTACGATGACTGACCGTCACTTATCAGGAGAAGCGCAAAAAACCCACGGCGGAGTCTTATATATGAGAATACCCTCGCCACCGCCCCATCACAGCCATGTTCGACGACCTGAATCATCGTTATTGCCCTAGTCCGCCATAATTACCTGACCTCCAGCGAACGTCCTACTTATGGTGTGGATGAGAGAGGACTATGGCTGCATTCCGTACCCTCCGCCGTCTCTGACCCCCGGTTTGCTTCCTTGCCTCCTCATGTTCTTAATATATCCCAGATCTGTCGCTAGGCCCGGCAAATCTCATCGAAGAATCCGCAGTCACCTCCCTACCTCAACTCCCGTTGATGCATATTCCCCCACGCTCTGTGTCACCGGCGGCTGAACTCAAACCACTACCATTATACAAATTAAAACGAGTCGACAACTAAGGGCTCGCCGCATGCCTGGTGCCTGGACCCCAATCACCATCAGCGACGACTGCCGAACACCGTCCTAACTGGCTCCCCACCTGCATGTGCATGCTGTGTAGCCATCACCCTTCGAGCGGCCATCATTCTGTCACCTGCTTCCAGAGCGCGTTGGCGAACCCTAGCTGGCCCCGAGAGTCCAATGGACCCATGTCCTCCGAGCTCAATCCATTTAGACTGCAACATCGTACCACAACTACATGTACATACTTCTGTCTCGGCACAGCTTCTGTTGACAGCATGCCATGGACACTGCGCGTCTGCCACAAAGTTACCGCCGAACCATTTCCCTCGATAACTGAAGTAAAACATATCAACGCTTTCTGCCAGGCCGCGCGCTTCCCTATCTGCGGATCACCATCTGGTAGTTTTTCCTAGCAGCATATATATCACAGTGGTGTGTTCTGCCTAGAGCATGCGTGGGTAGAAGGTTATCTGACTTGGATTGTTCCTGATAGGGAAGATTCGCACTTGTTGCGGATCATGGCCCGATTGACACCGAAGATCGCTCGGGACTAAACAGCGCGGGCTCGCATTCCTTTCTGGTATCATCTGACTCGGTCCCACCATCCTCCATCTCACGGCTTTGAGTCGACTGGGTGAGCTTGGCCAACATAACACCCCGGCTCTGAGCTTCGATAATCACTGAGCTGTTTACGGATGAGCAGTCGTCAAGGCCAAACCAAACCAAGACACACAAAAAAAAAAAGAGCGAAACAGAAAAAGAAACAAAAAACCAGGGTCCCTGTGGCGCACATCATTCACTTGCCGTGGATGCATCATTGGCCGGCCTCTAAGCAGTGCTCGGCACTCGGGTTCGCCCTATGGCGTTCCAAGGGCCTTCTGAACGAAGGCCGGCTCGCAGAGTCTGTCCACCGTGTTATTTCTTCATTACCATTGGAAGTACGACCAGCTACTTACTGGCCGTGGACCTCACAATCGAGTGTCGGCGGTGGATTTCCATCTACACCAGCATGTTATTATCTGAGCGCGAACGGTGGCACAGATGTCAACCAAGCCAGCCGCAATGAGTTGTACTATTTCGCAGGCAAAACTGGACAAAAAAACCAGATGAAAGCAAAAAGGGCTCGAAGCGATTCTGTATTGCACTCCGAAGCTCTGCATTCTGCACCACAAAAGTGGAACGTCCCACTTATTATTCCCTACGAGCCGACCACCCAACTCCGGACTTCGCGCCCCCTCCATAAGCCGAACGCCCTTGTCGACCAGGGCTTCTCGTCTCGCCCTTTGGAGTGAGTCGCTGGCTGATTCTCGTTTCCAACAAAATGACTGATCTGAGGGCGCTGCACTCACATCTGTACTCGGCCCTCTCCTTACGTTGTAAATTGTAAGCCGCAAATGCCAAGAATGCGAGGTCCTGGTACGCGTCCATCTCCACACCAGTGGCCTCTTGTAGCCCAATCCAGCAGGCGTTTACAAAGACAAGGCGTTGCAATTCTACGCATTTCACCGGTCAAGACAACGGTCTTCGTGGGTCTCTTCCTGACACGGCCAGCAAGTGAATGGGCAAGGATGATGGGATGCTCCGAAGAGGGATGCGTCGTCACGGAACAACGGTCCATGGTTCGATTTTGCCGAGGAGTCTAGAATGCCAGGGATTCGATTCGTCCACTCTCGCTTGTCATTTGACACGCACACCCTATCTTTCTGTCCCTGGAGGCAGGATCCAGGGGCTCGCAGGAGTCTTCGGACTACGCACCCTATCCGTACGATTTGAACCCAGCAGCATGGTTCCACCGCTCTTATCCAAAATTATTCCCATTCCTCCCGGCGCTGAGCCAAGCAGGGCAATGCAATGGGCAGGCGTGTCCCATGGCATGGCGTCAAAACTTGTTCCACGAAGCCCCGGAATTCCATGCTGATAGAACGTGTCCTGTTCGTCGCAAGTGGTGCTCTCGTTATCCACGTATCCCACCAACAGGCCACTCGTCTTCGTTTAGCTTCAGGACACGGCCCGAGCCAAGATGTTCCCCCGCGAGGGGAAGGGAGGAGAGAGATGATGGGCACGAGTATCTTGCTGCCACCGCGATATTCGCACTCATCATCAGATGTTGAGTTAGGCACAGTCGCCTCGTTGTGTCTCGAAATACCAAACGCAAGCAGACAGCTGGCTGGCTCAAGCAAGCAGCAAGCCAAAGTCAGCCTTCTGCGTCCGTTTTGTGCTAATTTTGACCTTTGGTGAAAACGCGGCCGCTCTCGGTTCGTCGCCCCCGCTTCCGAAGCCCAGAAAACCCCACGTCCTCCGAAGTGAAGCCCAACCATGATCAAGACTTGACGCGGGAAAGGTGGATTAAGGCGGCAGACATGCTCCGGGGAAGCAAACATCCTGTCCCCGGTTCGGGCGATCTCGAATGACACACATAGCATTGTGGGATACAATTTCTCTATGAGGCTGATGAGGCCGATTCCTCCCTCCTTTGCTCCGTAACGATACTAGGGAAGGTCTGGCAAAAGCGGAGTGACAACGACATCAGACGTGACTCCTGCGTTTGAACCGGACCTGAAGGCAATTTCTCCGGCTTTCCTTGAATGAGCAATACCGACCATGTCCACGTCCATGCGTATGCGCACATATGCAGGACTACAAGTTAAGGAGAGAGAAGAATTCTCTACTCTTCTTCTCTGTTGGTGATGACCTGTTCATTTGCCGGCCGCACACAAATCCATCTCATCCCTGCAAGCGGGATGGAACTGTCCAGCATTTACTAATGTAGGTCTTGCAGTACCAAGCCAAAACACCCTTCGGCTACAGATTGTGCCTTTCGGTCGTCTCAACCGTCCAGTCCACGCAACTTGTACGTTCCCCATGCAGCATATGACGGCATCCGAGCAAGTCGTTGTGTCTCTAAGCACGAGACACGGTGGTAGTATACAGGCAGAGTTACAGGCAGAGTGACCGAAAATACATCATGCCTTGCTGCTGCTAGCCACTTGTTCACGGCTGGTAGGAGTCGGAGTGGCATGCTCTCGAGTGCCTGCGATCCAGGAAGAAGCTGTACAGGCAGGCCCTCTCGATACAAGACATGGGACCCAATGCAATGGCCTGTCATGTTTCACAAATTCACAATGCATTTGCCCTGCATGGACTCGGTTCTGGGTTAATTAGGGCACAACCACCAGAGTCAACGAAGCCGCACACGACCTGCATTCAGAATTTATCCCTTCCAAGGTTGAGGGCGATGTGTGCAGGCTGGTTGACGTCAATCGATACATCTCGGTGGCGTCCAAGTGTGCGTTGATGCCAGGAGTTGGCCCTTTCACGTCCCGCAAGGAAGCATCCATCCGAAGGCCACTTGTACAAAGGACAACAACGCATGAGAATATCTATTCAGACAAGAACGTACATACAGTGCTCTCCGGATCTGCTAACCACCAGCGAAGGGGGAACTGGAGCTGAGCCTGATCGGATGCGAGTCAAGTGATTCTGTCTGTCGTTTCCTAAGTCGGTCGACTTCCGTTCCACATGGTGCTCACTTCATAGAGCCCACTTCAACCACTAGGTAGCTACCAGGAGCGCCCGGAGGCTTTGCCACCTTCTGGAATCACTGGATATTACACAGACTTCGGAGATCCGATTCTCTTGGTGGCGGGTCCCGCGGGGAGGGCATACTGACCCTCTTCGATTCCCTCGATCCCCTCGATCAGCACGTTCGCTATGAGGCAAGGCATGTTACTCCCCCGTTGGCTCTGTTTCCAAGGTGCGCACGATCCTCGTGTCTGTCCACGGGGTGCGGTTTTAACCGACCAACGGTGAGGTCTGTCCCAGACACGTCGCTCCACTGGATTGTCCGTGTCCATTGTCCCATTCGCTCCACCAAGTCGCGTACCAAGTCGCCACAATATACCGGTGTTGTTGCCAGTGCCCTCGTGATCTGTCCATACAAGTCAAGATGTCGAGTATCAACTCCGTTGGGCCGGGAGGAGGTGGCGAGGCGCTCCCTTTCCCTTTTCTTCGTCGCCCATCTCACCCACCCCGAAGTCTGGCCAAATCTGCAAAGAATCGAGATGCCGAACCACGTATTTGCCTCTACGGAATATGAGCACATGACTGATAGGATGGGTGTTGATTGGCGAGTCGGGATTGGGCCTCCTCCGGAGATCGAGCCACTTTTGGTCCCGTTGGCCTGGGGGGGGGTCTAGCCGGCCACCTCTCTCGTATTTGCCATGGAGAAATGACTGAGAGCCTAGTTTTGGTTATTCGTATTCTCCGCCTTTTCAACCCAAGAGTTGGTTGTCGTGGCCGTCAGTGATTTAGAGGAATGCTGCATCTCATATGCCTAGCCGGAAGGGATGGCCCTCGGTATTCAGGACAAAGTCATCAAGGCTGATGAGGTCGGGGGGTGAGAAGATCAAGTAATAGTACTTGAGCGTTTGAGCGAACCAATGACTCTGCACATCATTAGCAAAAAGGGTTAGGGATTTTTTGTCTTGGAGTTCATGGGGAGATGGAATGTTCCAAGGGGGGGTTTTTTTTTTCTTTTGGATGGACGCAGCATTACCTCCATGGAGTCAATTTTATTAGTCCCCCCCTGATGGGCGGTCACGTCGTCGATGGCGGCGTTGCCGTGGGGTGTCTGGGTGGCGTTGACGGTAGCTTGGAACATGCGCCAGGCGATGTCACGCAGGTCCTCCTTGCCGGTCATGCGGTAGAGGAGGAAGACGCTCTCGATGGCCTCGGGGCGAAGGAGGTAGCGCGGGTCCTTGACGTTCTTGAAGCCCTTGCGGAGTCGCGGGTCACCTTCGCCGGCCCAGCGGTCTGGGTCCCAGGGGCACTCGTCGAGATGGACGCCAGAGCCAGAGCCAGAGCCATCCTCCAGGGCCTTCCGATGGTCCCTTCCGATCTTCTTCTCGTCGCCGCGCGACTTCTTGCTCCTTATATCAGCGCTGGCCGTATCCGTAGCTTGTTCGTTCCCCTCGGAGGATCGGGAGCAGGGGATGAGGGTGGAAACTTCGGGCATGACACCGGCGGGGAAGGCGTCGTATGCCCAGGCGCAACCGCGGGCTAGTTGGTCGCCCATGTCGAGATGGTGGTCCAAGTCGAAGAGGCGGCCTCCGAGGGCGAAGAAACCTCCGGCGAAGCAGGCGGCCTGCTGGGTCTCCGGGATGTGATCGATGCGCTCATCGTGGACGTAGACGTCACCCGTGAAGAGGATGCGGGGTCGCGAGGGTTGAATTGGTGTTTGCTCTCCTCGCTCTTGTTCCTCCTCCTCTCGTTGATGCGCGGCGTCGGAGGGAAGCATGGGGCGGAAGACGATGTGGCGGGCGGCAGTCTCGGCGGCGCGACGGTACATGGCCTCGTATATCGGGTCGCGGCCCCCGAGCAGGGCGTGCATCTTGGGGAGGTACTCGTACAGGGAGCCAGCGGTGGCGCCCAGGGTGAAGGCGTTGTCGGTGTCGACGCGTTCGTTGCGAAAGTCGACGAGCCGGGGCCACATGCCCGGCAAGAGGGACTGGTGCTGGGTGCGCTGCAGGACGCGGGTGACGCGGGCGACGGCATCGAAGTACCTCGGGTCCCCCGTCAGCTGGGACAGGTGGGCGAACTCGAGGGCCAGGGTGCCGGTGGCGGCGGAAGGGTCGTGGTCGCCGGCCATCTGGGTCCCCGCGCGCATGTTGTTGAGGTTGGCCCAGCGGGCGGGGAGGCGGTTCGGGGTGTCGAAGGCCATGTAGAGGAGGTCGCCCAGCTCGGTGGCCTTGCGGAGCAGGGCGAGCTCGCCGCTGAGGTCGAAGGCCGACAGGAGCCCGGCGAGGTGGCGGACCGTCGTGTCGAGGACGTTGAAGCCGCCGCCGCCCTCGGCCCGGGTCTTCTCGGCGGCCCAGTCGACCTGGGCGGCGTAGGTGGCGGCGTCGTAAAACTCGTCCTTGAGCCCCATGATCCACAGCGTGTCGAGGCTGTCGAACAGCGTGACGGCCCACCCGCCGTATGTGTTCTTCTTGGGCTCGCCGGAGACGGGGCCGACCTCGTCCTGGCCCCATGCTCGGTCTCTGTATGTCTTCCAACCCTGGACGAAGACGTCGCGGACGGCGGCGCGGCGTGCCTCCAGCTCGGTTTCCGTCGTTGTGACAGTCGTCGTGGTTCGGAAGAAGGAAGGGGAAAAGTCGTGCTGGATGCGCGGGATGCGACGACGGGGGCGCCCGGTCGGCAACGGGATCATGGAATGGATGGGGAAGTGCTGGTCGACGTCGGTCCAATCGAACGAGCTGTTTCGGAAGGGCACGCGTTCCGACGTGGGCGGGAATGGTTGCGGACTGGGCGCCGAGCCCCCGAGGAATGAGAAGAAGGAGGATGACGATGACGATGACGATGAAGGTGGCACATGGGCGCCGTAGTCGTACCCGTCACTTCGACGAAGAAATAGCAAGACGAAGACGAAGGTGAATAGCGCGACGACGGGCACGAGGCGCCGACGAGGGGCTAAGATCAAGACCATGATCTCTTTGTTTGTTCGTCCGCCTCCGGGGGGGGGGAGGGTTTCGTTCTTTTCCCGTTTCGTTTTCTTGATCAAAATGAGATTTCCCAACTCAGCGGAGAGGAATTTGATTCGTGACAAGAGATCGATGGCGCATTTTCAGAGCGAGTTGACCAATTTTGTCTTGTTCTTCTTTTCGGGAGCGCTTTGCTTTGGATGTCAGGTATAATGAATGAATTGAACGTGATAAAATTATGGAGTATGATATTTCGTCCTTAACTTAACGCCAAAGAGAAAAAGACCGGTCAGGCTGAAGACGCGTTGGGATAAATTCTCTTTAAAAACGAGGCGTCGTCGTACGGGGCCGTCCGGATCTCTCCATTCAGGGGCCATCACGTTGAAATATTATTGCTTAGCTAATATCTAATATGAAAATTGAAAAATTACAAAAAAAAAAGGGGGGGGCCCTTGTCTGCCAAGGATCTCTCATCGCTTCATCCATGGTGTCAAGACTTTGTCCGCATGCAAAGTACGAAAAAGCTCAATGACTTGACGACTGCACTAAGTACATTGTTGGCCTTGGACTGACGGAGAGAAGAGACCAATGGTTATGTGTGAATAGGTGAATAGCTTGATAGCATTGCCTGCTTATAATTGTATACCTATACCCTACGGGCATCCGCCATTCTCACGACACTCCTCTCCTCTTTGCATACATCCTTACGACGGAGGACGGGGCGTCCATCACGCTTTTCCATGTGTATGTATATGCGCCTTTGTACCTCGAAAGATAAGGCAGCTCTACCTTGGTTCTTTTTACTCGCCCTCCGTCTCCGAGGGGCGGTCCATCTCGAGGCTCTCCTTGTTCTCCCGGCCCTTCTTCTTCATCGAGAACCGGCTACTCCAACCGCTCATGCTCATGCGACCACCGCCCTGGCTCGCGTCCCGGGATTTAATCGGCCCAAACGACGGGCTGCTGGTCACGCTGTCATAGCTGCGCCCCAGCTGGTTCAAGTCCGCCTCGCACAGGTCGTCCACGTCGCCAATGCTGGATCGTTCCGCCGAGTAAGGATAATTCTTGTCCGAGTGCGTCGCGCTGCCGGGCCCTTTCTTGAAGAGGCCCGAGTCCTTACCCAGCCGCGAAGAGATGCTGAACTTGCTTGCGCTGCCCTTGCGGAAGAGCTTCCGCATCGCGCTTTCCTGCTCCTTCAAGCTGGCCGAGGCGCCCGTGCTCGGATTGTCCGACGGTGTGTTGGAGAAGGTCGGTTCCAGAGAGAGCGTGAGGGACTCGCGTGATTCCGACACCGAGGTCTGCGTATGAACCGAGAACGTGTCACGGGAAATCCGCGACTCCGTAGGCGATTCGTCCATGCCCGGAAAGGCCTCCATGCTCGGCGTCAGGGACCCGGCTTTCTTGTCCCTGTCCTTGGCCTTGTCTCTGCCTTTTTCTTTCTCCTTGCCTTTCCCTTTGTCCTTGCCGGCGTCTGATTCCTTGTCCTTAGGCCGGAAGAAACCCGCCATAAAAGTTGGGGCCGCCGGGTTGAGGCGCTGCTCCAGCAACCTGGAAGCCGGGAGCGGCCTACCAATCACGCCGACCTGGCTCGGGGACACGTGAGGATCGAGCAGAGCCTCTTCATCCAAGATCTCGTCATCTGCCGAGGCAAGCGTCGTCTTTAAAGCAGAAGGCGATCCATGGAGCGAAGGCCGCCGGGACGGATTTCGCGACGACCACGGTGCCGTCTCTGGCAGCCAAATGCGCCTGCTGCTGAAGTTCGCCATGCCGCCGCCATCGCCCGGCGCCCCCCAGATAGATCCACTGTCGGTAGAAGGTCGCGGGAACTCGGCCGACGCTATCGACGCGGGCCTCGGGCTAGTCGGCACGCGGTCCGGGAATACGCCAGACGAGCTCGCGAAAGGGTTCAGCCGCCGAGCTGAAAACCTGGAGGGCGGCGGCATGTTCCCTTCGCTCTCGCCCAGGGTGGGGCCGGGAGCAGACGGAAGGCCAGAGCCAGGGCCAGGGGCAGAGGTAGGGTTAGAATCAGGAATATTTCGGTTAAGAAACCAGTTCGTTGCGAAAGCTATCCTACGCTTGTTGACCGTGTCGCCTTCCTCGCCCTGCCTGGGAAACGACTGGCTCTGGCCTGCCTTCAAAGTGCCCAGAACGGGTCCGCCGTCGTCGAGGTCCCTAACACCCCTACTGCGGTTGAACGTCGCGAGCAGATTGGTGAACCGGTGGTGACCGGACGCCGGTGCATGGCCGCCGGCGCCGGGTGACCCCGTCACATCGTTCAGGGACCTGCGCTCGCTGCTGTCCACACGGTGCATGTCGAAAGGCAGGTGATGCGTCGAGGCGTGGGGACTAGAGAGTCTGCTCATCCGACCCGACGACGTGGGCGACTTGGGGTCGTTCTCGTGGTCCCAGCCGACCGGGCTCCTCCGAGACTCCGAAGGCGGGCTTGGGGGGTCGTCGTCGCCCAGGATGCCCGACGGCAGGAGAGCCGTCGCCGTCGGACTCAAAGGCGCACCACCAGTCGGGACCCTCAGCTCGACATCGCTGCCATGTCGTTCTGCGCCGCCAAGATCCGCCGAGGACATGTCCATAAAAGGCCCGGGGGCAAAGCTGGACCGCCCACCCAACCCGGCCACCGTCGTCGGCCCGTACATGGTGTCGGGAGGGGAAACAAACTGTGTCGGGGGGCCGGCCGCGACAACGGGATTCGGCAGCGACGTGTTACTGGCACGACTTCTCCGCTTGACCTGCGCCGACACGGGCTGGTCGAAGTCGACGCCCGACGCATTCGCCTGGCTGTAGACCTGGGCGCTGGCTTGCTGCTGTGCGTAGATCTGGGTTTGGAGGACATGCATGTGGTTCTCAATCTGCTGGGCCCGCCTGCTCTCCATTATGAGCTGACTTTGGAGGTCCCTTTTCCTAAAATCGAACTCCCTCCTGGCTTTCCGGTCGTCCTCCTTCCATCTCTCGTCCTCGTCGCCGCCGGGGAGCTTCTTCCGCTCAGTCTCGAGATCTTTCAGCTGCTCCTTCTTCTCCTTATATTCGGATTCGAGCTGGGCATGTTCTTCCTTCAGCGCCGCGATTTCCTCTTCCAGGTGTTTGAGTTTGAGGTCGCGATCCTGCTGGATGCTGTCCTCCTCGGTTGCGAAGCCTTCTCGGGATTTTTTCATCTTCGATACGTCCTCGTTGCATTTCTCCACAGAGTCTTGCACCTTTCTCCTCTTGTCCTGCTTCTCTTTCAGCAAGTTCTCCTTCCTTGCCTTGTCCTTGTTCGTCTGGCGCATCTGCTCATAGGTCGCCTTAACCCTCTGTTTCAGTTGTGCCGTGTGATCGTCTTTCTCCTTATGGAGTTGCTTCTTTTTCTCCTTCTCCTTTTTGAGGGTGTCTTCGAGTATTCTGAAATCGGTTTCCTCCTGGCCGTATTGAGCCAGGATGTCTTCGATCTCGTTCCTCGTCTTCTCCAAGGCGTCGGCAAGCTCTTTGAGTGACGGTTCCCGACGGTCGCTATCGTAAGGCAGCTTGATGGCCGGCTGGTCCTGACTGGCCACGGACGGGGAATGACGGCGATTCAGCGTATTGCGCCGCTGGCCAGGTGCACTCGACGAGCCTTCGCGGGGAGCCGCGGGACCGCCTTCAAGAGATGGGGCTGCTTCGATGGAAGGCACCTGGGCCTTGTTGCCGGCGGCTCCGGTGGACAGCGATTGGGCATTTTTCGGCTCCTGGTCGTGGAAGCTGTCGGGGATCCGAGAGTTCCCGAGATCCGGGCGGCCGTCTCGTTTGTAGGTGCGTAGGCGGATGATCTGACTCCCCGTTTGGAAATTGTTGGGTCCGACGGCAATTACTCGTACATTGTAACAATGGTTTGGTCGAAGTCCTGTCACTGTGATGGCCGTCTCTTCAGGCCTCGACTCGCCAACTGCAGAGCGAAACAATGATGACCAGTTAGCACCTTCGCCATTCGCCATTCGCACTGCGAGGATGCAATCCAGGGAGCAACTGGGGAGGGTGCACGACGACAGCGATACTGACCATTGACACCGTTGACTTGTATCAGGTACTTCTGAACGGGGCGGTTGCTGGGCGGTCGGGTCCAGTTGAGAGTGGCGGCGTCGACACGGATACCGGCGAGGGAGACATCGGGAGGTTCGGGGACATCGACGCCCAGGATACTGATGAGTTCGGGGGTGGGCTTCCATAGCGTTTGCCAGGTACGATTGAGCAGCCTAAGCGGGTATCAATGTCAGTAAAGTTCAGTGGCTTTGGCCGTTGCTTAGTTGCTTAGGCGGCGTCCCAAAAGAGAGGGCACGTGGCGCGTATGATGACGTTTGCGCAGGTAAGCGGCACGGTTTAACGGCCGCAACGTGCGACGATGCAGCGGCTGGCATGCTGTTGGCTGGCTGGGTGTTGTCGCTGGACCGGTGGCCAAACAGATAGGCAGGTCGGATTCGCGACAGGCAACGAGAAAGAAACCCACACTCACCAAAAGACTGCCGCCAGAGTGACAATCATATTGGCATGGCCTAGCAGGAACGTATCGAGACGAAGATACCAGAAGAGCTCGCGGGAATAGTGCAGGGACCGGACAAAAATTATGTTGGCGTAGAGAGGAGATATGACCCAGAAGGTGACGATGGTCAAGATGCAACGAAGCAAAATCAAGAGCGAGCTGGCGGGTCTTGTAACCCACCAGGCGACGAGGCAGCTGATGAGAAGGAATCTAGTCAGAAGCAGCCATAACATCGCCGCGACCAAGAGAAGAAAAGGAAAACAATAAAGGAAACAAAAAAAAAGAATTAGCAAAAACGAGACGAAGATGGGATTTGGGGTGGAAATGAAAAAGAGCGATTAGAAGATTTAGTGGGAATCTTGGGAGATCGATGCTACCTTGTAAGTGTGAGGTACCTCCATATTGGAGTCATACCGTTGTATGTAACTTTGTAAGGTACAACGTACACCTTAGGTAGGTATTGGGCAAGGCTGCTATTAGCCGCGTCAAGAACCTGGCCCGAATCTCGGCAGTCGAAGTCAATACCTTGTTGCCGTACCCTGTGTGGGGTGGGGTGTCACTGATGGCCTGCAAGAGCCTCTCTCCACTGGTACCGTACGGAACTTCTTATTACGGATAGTGCTCCAAGGACAAAGGCAGAGAGAAAGAAGGCTGAAGAAAGAGGCGTATCGCAGTATAGAAGGTTTTTATGACTCGTAAGGCAGGTCGCCAGCTCAAATATTTATCCATCCACACACAGACCGGACTAGGACTTGTCCTTTGAATTACAGGAGTAACAAAAGCGAACGAGGCGTTAAAAGAAGAGAAGCGTGTCAGACGACCATGACAATGGGCAAAAATATCATTTCCGAATCGGGGAATCGAACCCCGGGCCTGTCGGCACTACTACCGTTCCAGATTGAGAGCGACAAATGTTAACCACTACACCAATTCGGATATCTTGTTGCAGACAGCTATGTATCGTTGCTCTAACTGCCATTGCCCTAAGGCAGCACAGGGCCTCTTATGTTCATAGATAAAAGGAGTCTAAAAGAAGTACAGCCTTGATCGTTATCTATTACTTTTATATTAAAGTCTTAATAAATTTAAGAGAAGAAGATAAGAAGAAAAGGGGAAAAAAAAGGTGCTTAACTACTCTACCTTTAAGCATAAAGGAGGAGAGACTTCCCAATTTTATTATGTATTTCAGCGGGCCAATCAGCGTAGCGATAGAAAATAGTGACAAAAAAAATAAATTTCCGAATCGGGGAATTGAACCCCGGGCCTGTCGGTTCTATATTGGAGATTGAAAACGACAAATGTTAACCACTACACCAATTCGGAGGCTCGTATTGAAGTGTATTGTAAGATTTACTGCGCGGTCTTGGCATTTAGTCTTCTACGTCCTCGTTACCACGCCATACCATTAGGAATTCTCCCATTAAGGTGTTTCTTGGTAGTAGGAATGATGATTTAACTACCTGGGCATATGGGCAAACCGGAGTAGGTTGGCAGCAACATCGGATAGACTTGATATGGAAAGAACACCGGGTCGAACCAGCACGTCCCTCGACATTTGGGAGTGCAAATGTACGGATACTTGCTTCGCACTCCGTACAGATACTTGATATGTGTTTGAGAACTTCCCGGGCCCTTAAATCAAACATGGGAACCAAGACGTGAATGCCAGCTGGCTTTTGCAATGCCACGACACTCAGGCAAACACCCCCGATCATGTATGCGTACTGGAAGGACGAACAGGGTTCGCAGGTAAGAGTTCGCAGAACACAATCATAGTACCTTAGGTATGCGAAGCAGTTCGGACCCGAGTGACGAGACATTCGGGAAGGAAGCTCGAGATTCTAGAAGATCGCGAGCGCTATCAAAGCCAAGGGAAGACGTGGACTCGGACGGACTAGTACGGTCCTTGATCGATGCAGCAGGCTTCCGTTTCGGGAAGTTTTGCCCTCCCAAGCAACCTAGGCACCGGCGTATGATCAGGGACAGGGACCAAAAATCAACTGTTGTTTCCGGTCAACCTCGCACTTATTTCGGTCTCGTCTCCCTACCTTAAGGTAAGCATAGGTAACCAGTCCACAAAGCCTGCCACTCAAATCCGGTCAAACAGTAAGTACTATTGCTTCTGCTGTGACCAAGCAAGGGCACATAAAACTCCTTTCAGGACGCCGTCTTGTCCGCATCTCGTACGCGTTCGGGTCGGATAGGCAGTCGAGTGCGAGCTTCATCGGATTTGGTGGCGTTGTCGTCTTCTTGTAGGTCTTCCTGGTGATGGCTAAATCATCGACATGGCTCGAAATAGCAGGCATATATATGTGTGAGCCGATTGTATTTCGCCAGGTAAGCCGAAGACGGGTGCCGGGAGCCTTCTACTTCAGGCATATAGGCAGGCTTCCAGCCCTAGCCTACAAGCCTACAACGTACTCCGTACATCTATGCGACCTAGGAATATATCGTGCAACCCCCACCTCCTTCTCGAATTGGCAACAGTGATGACACATCCGCGGCTCCCTCGAAGTGGAGTCGCCTAATTAGTTCGCAAGTTGGACATGAGCAGAAAACCGCCCACCTTTGACAGTGTCAGAAAAGGGGGAATCATGCAAGAGCGCAGAACGAGTCGCATTGTCGATAGCCAAACGCCCCGTCACACTCAGTGGTTAAGAGCAGTAATCTGTCCATGCTAAACCATCGAGTTTGGGCCACGCAAAACGTGCGCCGACAAAGACAACTAGACGAGCGGTGTTCGGACGCAGGGTAACACGCAGGAGGAACGGAGTAGTATGTCGTTGAAAATACGAAGTATGTACGTATACGAGCTTAGCTGGGCGTAACAAGGCGGGGTTCGCATCCTCTGACCAGTCCCGTTCCCTTCTTCTTCCATCCTCCCAGCGGTCGTCACTGAGCCTTTTCCTCTGGCTTGGCGTTCCTGGCGCCGAGCGCGACGAGACCTTGGTCGTATTCGTATTACTTCGACACGGGTTTCGCAGAAGACATTGATGATAATTCACATTGTTTTCATCGCCCATGGTCGACTAGCGTCATCTATGTTCTCCGTTTCTGGCAGAAGATCATGATCCCTCCTTTCTCTTGATACAACTATCGTGATACGAATAACCCTATCCAGCAAGAAGTGAGTAGTAATACTGAGTATCTGTATGCGAGCGACTTCAGGCGCCGTACGTCTGTCAGATGCAGCCTCACAAGACACGGTCCAGGCCAGTGAGACAATTCATTTCGTACTTACGGTCTGACTTGCAAGAAGTATGTAGGTATGTAGTCACGGGACATGACAAGAATTTGGCAACGATCTTCTACGGAAACCCGGGACTAAGCATTGCAAGCAAGGTTTAGCTGTTGGAGTGGGATGGCGGGAGGAAGGAGCCTACCTTATAAGGCACAGTGTCCCAAGGTCCGGACTAGCCGTACTCTGTAACGAGGCAGCAAAAGCCTCAATGCCCAGATACATACGTACATATCCCGTGCCCACCAAGGATTTAACCTTAGGACGCGCCTGGGGCTCAACACCCGCGAGAAAGGATTTCTGTCCAACCGTCAACGGCGAAACGTGCCCACCTGGACCCGTAAGATGGTCGCGGGGGGTAAGCCGCTAATAACTGATGGTACACGTACATAACCGCATTCTCCTGCGAGACACCCTGCCCGTGTTCACTGACGTAGTGTCTCTCCCTGTGAGTTTTCGTCCCCGAAGTGATGGTCATAACGTCAAACCTGGGGAACCAATGTTAGAGAAAATGGGAGGTCAACAGAGGGAAACAGAACATGTAAAACTAAATGGGAGGAAAGTAAACGAAGAAGGGTAATTTGTGCGATCAAGGTCATAGTAAACAGGACTCGACAACTTATGGTCGATATGCCGACGGGTTACGGCAGCTCTAGTACCAATCGTCCGGATCAGCCGCGAATTGGAAGCGCCTTTTTCTTATGTACATACGTACGCCGTAATTTCGTCCCCCAGCTTCATACGCCGCAGTAATGTCTCTCGTCTGATGCAGCCCAAGCTTGGTGTGCCTCGTACTGAGTTGATACCAAGACTTTTTTTCTTTTGTTCGAACAGGGAGTTTGCCCTTGTCTCGGCCTCTACGAAGTACGAAGTATTAACACCCTCCCTCACAGAGGATCCCCATGCCATGCGCTCATCCCATGACCAGCAAAGAGAGGCATTGTTACAGTGACAGCTTGGAAGTACTCGTCTCTGGCATGTTCAGTCTAAAGTACGTTGTATAGTTGGATTTTGGAATTCGTCCGTACAGAGGTTCCCAGCCACTACCTGTCATGCCCAACTATCTCATCACGCAGTCAGACCATGGGAAGAAGAATTTACTTGAGTAGAAAGACGCTGGGGATTTCCCCTTGTTATTGCCTGTTTGTCTGTCCTGCACTATCCCCGAGAGATATATTCTGCGCTGCTATCCTCCATTTCCGATGGGCTATCAATGATCGTCCATCGTTCCCGTCTCCTTGATTACCTTACCTTGGTTACGTTCGCTTTCTGATGTCTAGGCCACCGTGGTTCCTTGCCTCGCTCGCTCTCCTTCGTTATTACTTTTTGTTGGATTTCCCTAACAGCGGCAGAATATGTTCTGACCTTTTTAATTTTCTTTCTTAATTCAATCGGTCTCAACCTTCTATCACCGAATCTCGGAATCTCGACTCAAGCCCCCGCCACAAATCCCTCGTCACTTCACACCCGCGCTAGGTCTCCCCTCCGCGACGACAACTGCAAACACGACCTCTCTTGCCGTTGCGCCTGTCCGCCTCGGTAAGTACTGCGTGTATATTTCTTTACGTGAATGAAAATCCCTGTTCCATATTACCTGCATACCTTCAAGATTGATCATTCAGATTATCCGAAGAGTCGAGAATGAGGACGAGGCAAGAGGTATTATGATACTAGGACTTCTCTGAGGGGTATCCTGTTTTAGGGGAGGCACCACCCAGGACGATAGTTTCTTGGGAAAGAATCAGTTGGAGCGTACTTGCCCCGTCACAATGTCCCTGTCCTATTAAACCTTCTTTCGTCGCAGCTACGTGACAACAGCCAAAACATTTTTCCACCTTCAACTTCTTCTTCCACTGTTTTGCCTACCCATCTAGTTATCTCTACCTAGCTCCCTGCAAGCAACGCACGCACGCCAATCCGTCCTCTGGGCAGGCACTTTCATCATCTCTTTTTTTTATTTCCCTTTCCCTCCCTCCTTTGCGCAGCCACGGCTTTCCGCTCCTTCATTGCTGTCTGCTGCCCCCCCCCCCCCGCTGTTACTGCTCTCTGTTATACCCCTGTCATCCCGAAGAGAAGAACGTACAACAACACACAAAGCAGGAGAACTGCACAGCGCCTCCTTTAGAATGGTGGCAACGATCACGGCTTGGGAAGAGAAACCAAGGGTTGGCTGTAGCTGACGACTCCATGCTGGTCGATGCAGCCTTCGGTGGCTCTGTTGGCTAAGGTACTTGTCAGTGGGATGCGACCTCGGTACCTGGGTTCGATAATTGACTGGGTACTAATAACTAAGGTACCTACCTTACCTTACCTGAATTAGTGGGAGATTTGGTGCATTCTCCAAGACAGTAAGGACCCAGGCGGGTGTGCGCTGCCAAGCGGTTGCCCATACCTATATCCCCGCTTAGCGCGAAACCCCCCCGGCAGGATCTTCAGAACCCGCTGCTCACCTGCCCCAACGTCCCAGGGTACGGTGTCCCCAGCGCGCCCACTGCCCATTTCGCACTTCGCATTTCGGTGGAGATTCAATCCAGTTCCCACCTCTTCCTTTCACCCAGAAAAATCTACACACTTTGCTCCTCTGGTCCAGTCCATCCCCTCCGGCTCCTGGCTGTCTCGTTTCGATTTCGATCTGTCATCATACTTTCATCCGCCAGGCCCAGTTGTGCTTTTGGGGTCTGACCACCAACTAAGGTCCCTTCGCTAATTACTAGTAACCCAGCCTCTCGTTCTAAACCCGAAATTCGTACTGTCAACTGTCAGCACGCCACCGCCATCGTTTCACCCGCAACCTGCCTCCTAGCCCCCGCCGAACAAGCCCAACCCATTGGGAACGCTTTTCATTTCGCGACGCCTCCCTACGGCTCGAATCCTCTCTATACACAGCATCAGGCAGAAACGGCTTCGGACGTCTCTCGTTCCACTCATCCGACCAAACCACCGGTTGTCCCAGATCCTGCGAATCAATGCTGCCGAGAACGAGCATCGCTTCGTGACAAATACCGCAGTGACCATCTCGTGCCGGCACGTCCGCCTCATCCCCAGCCTCGCGATTTCCTAGAGCCCAAATCCAGTCTCCCTCTTCTCCAACGCGGCCATTGGGGGGCTCACTCACAACCTCCCCTTCCTCACAGGAACAATGGCGGCCGTTACCGCGACATCCCCGCCGCCATCTGCTGCCTCTTCCACGTCGAGCCCCAGCAGTCCCAGCCGTCGAAAACCTGTCCCTGGCTCGCACATGTCGCCCGAGCGACTGGCAGTCGATGATCTGGCTCGGAGAGGAAGACCGACCATCTCTGCCTCTGGTTCCGACTCACCTCGAATACGCGATGCTCCTGTCTCCCCGGTGAGAGTAAACTTCCAGTCGGGTAACTGGGCTCAACCTTCCAATGCAAACATTGAAGTCGTCCACCCTGCCGAGGCGGACGTCATCGTTGTGGACCGTACACAAGACCGCCGCCTGCCGCCGCCTCGTAACGCTCCGGTACCACCAACATTCCCGCATCAAGTACGGAAGTCTTCGGCCCCGACCGCCAGCCCCTCATCATATCATGCTGCCTCTCCCTTGTCGAGGCCAAGTGATACTACTATAAACAGCAAGGAAAATGCGTTCGATCGCGTCTCGTCCCCTGCAGCCGTGGCGCTGTCTTCACGACCTGAGGGCGCCAGGGCGACGGTGGGCGCTCCTTTCGCAGAGGGCAACCGAAATAGCCGCGAATCGGATACCACCGCCAGCACCACACAGCAACAAGTTTCCACCGAATCATCCGCCACGACGAGTGCGAGCTCCGTCTCGGGGCCCAACGAGACACCGGACTGCCAAGACCATGAATCTACGGGAAGCTCTCTCATCGAAGGGCATATGCCCACGAACAAATCCGTACCTCTTTTCCAGTATCATCATCAGCAACAATTCCCCACGCGCATCTCCTCCAGTTTCCCCCTTGCGGTCGACGCTAGGGCTTCGTCGAATCCCGACCTGGGCGAGGGTTCCGGCATAAATCGCCATCTAACTCCTACCACGGGGGCCTTTGCCCGACGAAGCTCACTTCCACGGCCTCCTTCGAGCTATTCGGTTTACTCCGACGTTGGACTGCGGGGCAGGTCTCCTGGGCTGATGCCCGGCGGCCCTCACATGCGGGCTCCATCCGTTCAGTCACGAAAATCACCCGATGTGCGCCCGTCTTCGTATGTGGAGCTGTTGAACGTTCCGTATCCGCAGCCGGCGCCGGCGCCGATCAACTTTGACAATGCCCAGCTGCGCAACGCTGTCGGTAGCAACGCCTCACTTCTTAGCACGCAGAAGACGCTGGAGATGTATCGTCAGAACGTGAAAAAGACCAGCGACCTCTCTATCCAGTACGCCTTTGCCGTTTTCCTCATTTCCACGGCCCAGGAGCAAGGTCACGACCTGGAAGCGACGCCCCGCAAGAAAGGCGAAAGCGACCAGGACGGCAGCTCGCCCCAGGCACTCGTCAAGGAGGCTAGGCAAATCTTGCAGAAGCTGTCTAGTGCGGGCTACCCATTTGCCCAATACTACCTTGCTGACGGCTTCGCATCGGGCCTCTTCAGCAAAGGGAAAGAAGATTATGGCCAGGCGTTTCCTCTGTTCGTTCTTGCCGCCAAACATGGCCATGCCGAGTCGGCGTACCGGACTGCGCTATGTTACGAGTTCGGCTGGGGCTGTCGAAAAGACCCCGCAAAGGCAGTGCAGTTCCTCCGGATAGCGGCGTCCAAGAGACACCCGGGAGCCATGACCAGGTTGGGCAAGGCTTGCCTCTCTGGTGATCTTGGAGAGAAAAGATACCGCGAGGGAATCAAGTGGATGAAGCTGGCAGCGGAAGCAGCAGATACTGTCTACAACGCCGCCCCCTACCAACTAGCATGCCTCTACGAAACAGGATATGGACACGACATCTTCAAGGACGAGGCATATTCAGCAGAACTCTTCACCCAGGCTGCAGAACTCGGGCATCCGGAAGCCAACTTCCGCATGGGGGAAGCGTACGAGCATGGCAAGCTCGGCTGCCCAAGAGATCCGGCGCTTAGTGTTCATTTCTACACGGGCGCTGCGGATAAGGGCCACGCTGGTGCGATGATGGGTTTGTGCGCATGGTATATGGTCGGCGCCCCACCCATACTCGAGAAGGACGAGGAAGAGGCCTACGAGTGGGCACGACGCTCGGCAGAGTTGGGTAGGTGCTGTCCTGTCACTACAAGCTTTCGGGCGCATTCGCGGATACGCAGGCTATATTGCCGAAGAAAAAGTTCTGCGCTAACAAATGACATACAGGCTACGTTAAGGCACAATATGCAGTAGGCTACTTCACTGAGACGGGCATCGGCTGTCGTCGGGATATCTTGGAGGCCAACGTCTGGTATGTCAAGGCGGCTGACGCAGGCGACGAGCGGGCGAAGCAAAGAATCGCCATCATCCAAGCTGCCATCAGTGGAGGGACCCCCATGGAGGTCGCGCCACCTCGGGATGGCAAGACGAAAAAAGACGACAAGGACTGCATTCTAATGTAAAGCGACGAGAGCGGTATTTTGCGTCTGCACTAACCCTTCCGGTGTTTGTTTTCCGGACAACAACAAAATCCATCTGCATTAATGCTCCAATGTCATCTCAAGATTTGTAAGGGAAAGAGGCTGGAGGTTAGAAGCCGAGGGTTCGTTTGTTCTTCTTCTTTTTTCAAGACGTGCATTTCCCCGGTCTGGTAGTCCAGAAGGAGGAGGGCTGGACCTAATTCTTCGAATCCTTTTGCGCATTTTGTTAAATACGCATTTCTGGGCGGGCTGCCGTTTATTGCGAATATCTGCATTCTCACGGCATGGTTCCCCATCCCCGTCTGGAGTAACCGTGCATTCATGGGCGTTTCTGGAAGGGTACCTCGTTTTGTTTTCCTCCCTTCTCTCCCTTGTCAGTTCGCATTCGCCTTGCTGGAAAGAATTTCGAACCGAGGAGAAGAGGGTGAGCTGGATTGAATAGAAGACTTGCACATAGCAGGAATACAACGATGCCCTGTCTTGGACAGGCGTCTACCCACAAGCAGACCCGCGGGCCTCTTCAACACCAGGCGCTGATGACCCTGATGACTGCATTGTGGGTATGGCATAGGAGGTTGGTATGCATGCAATTTCTCCCGGTAGAGGAGCCAGGTGCTAGAGACGCAGCCTAAGTGGCATTGGCGCGATGGACGGGGCAGATAGAGGGAGCCGACTATTGTTTCTAAAGGCAAGCGCACGTCATGCAACTCAACACTCAACGTGTCGAGCCATTATATTGCGCCTGGATCGGAGCTATCCAAAAGTGGCAATGGGAGACGAGCAGAGAGAAGACTACTAGAGACCGTGTCGACTGGTGGCTGGGGTTTAACAAGGGATAGGTCATTGAGATGCATCCCACGCAAGACAACCAAAGGGTGCTTCTTCTTAGTTGCTTCCGGTCCCTCTGGGGAGGAAGATAAATTCTTCCTAGTGTGATAGGTGAAATGCAAGGGGTTGGTTGTTAAGGTAGGTATTGCAAGTGATTCTCGAGGCTGGCGCGAAAGACACACGTTGCCTGGCTGCAAGATCCGATGTCGTGATTCGCTTGTAGTGTACACGGCCAAGTTAATAAACCGAGGTATCCTCCATCCGTACCTCTTCTCACTCAAGCGTAACTTCGGCTAATGAGGTAGGAAGAAGTATCGTTTGATACCTTAGGTACCATCATGAACCTCGCCGCGGCCCCCCTTGCCAATTGAAGCTACGGAGCTACGGAAGCCGCTAGGCACCCAACGCCAAGGTAGCCAAGGTACTTGCGGAAAGAGAACATGTCACAAGAACTTAAGGGTGGTCTAGGAGCGGGTAAATTTGCTTCATACCTTAAGGTAGGTACTCGAAGACAGAATACGTGGACGGCTGCCTACAAGTTCATACTTCTTCGGAGTGACCTATACTTGTTAACCAAAAACCATTCGCCTCAACCTCCCGGGATAGTTGCTGTGAACAGATGGTCAGAAAACTACGCCTTATATGCAGCTTCATACTACCTTATGTTGGTGGTATCCATACTTGGGAGAATTTCACACGAGGAACCCGAATTACGAAGGGCCTGGGTACTAGTAATACGGAGCAGGGCACGAGGTAACTCGCAGGTTTCGCGGTCAGTGAAAAGCCACGAGGACAATTCTGTTATGATGTTTCCCGCCTGACGCCGTTGCTTGGTTGGCTACCTGAGAGCTCTCCCTACTTTCCTTCCCCGCTTGCCGACTGAATTTTGTTCCGAGCACCATCTCAATTTGTCGACAATAGCCCGTCCCAAAGGACACCCGAAAGAAGAGGAAAAAGAGAGAAAAAGAAGTGGAAAAAAAAAAAGGATCTTTCATCAATCATGTCCCTCCTGTCACCAGGTACGACCATGAGCGCCTGAAAACGACGAAGAGAAAAATGCATGGCTGCAACGTATGAGAACGCCCACCATAAACCCGTCATGCAAATTAGGTGCAGAACAACAAGAGGGAGGACCCGAAGACCTCGGTCGCGAGTGTGAACATAGCGACACGGCTTTGCAGGATAATAAGAACAGAAAAAACAAATAATATGTACGTCCTGTGGCCTTTTCATCTGCCACTCTGGGTCCTCTCCTTCCTCTTCGACTCGTCAATCTCCTCTCCCAACTCGGACGGCTTCCGCGGATCAACATAGGCCGAGCGTCTCTTGTCCCCCCAACGGGCGCCGACGGTGACCCAGACCATCTTGGTCGGGATGGGGACGTTGACCGTCTCCCGATAGCCGGTCCAGCGCAACCGCTCTTGGCGGCTCATGGCGCTGTTGCCCAGCCCGCCGTTGGTCACCCACTCCTTCACGACGTTCTTGATGAACTCAATCTTGGGCCGGAAATCGTTCGCGGCGGGGATCCCCTGTAGTTCCGCCGGTATCTCGGGACGCCGACGGGTTGTCGTGGTCGTGCGAGTCGATCGAGTGGTCGACGGCTTGGTCTGGAAGTTAAGGAGGGTCTGCAGAGGGTAAGAGAGCATGGCCCGCTCATCTAGAGCCGTCGACGTCAATGTCCCGTTCTCCGCCAGATTGAGTGCTGCCTCCTCCGGCAGATGCCAGAAATGGCACCACGTTCCGGTCGCGTTGAGGACGATCTTGGTGTGGTCTGGGAAGTTGAATTGGAGGTGGCCATCGCAGAAAACCCAGCAACCCACGTCGCCGATGCGTTGGTAAAACGTTACCAAGTCGTCCGGTTGGAAATCTTCCTTCTCCGGGCTCTCCTGGTCGCTCTTGTTGTTGTTGTCGTCCTCCGATGGGACCGTCTCGTCCCTCCCATACGCTATCATGTAATTGGCGAATTTCTTCCAGAGGATGACCCGCTCCCTCTTCCTGTGCTCGTATAAATCCGCGCCGGGGTTCAACTTTCCGGCTGTCCCGTCCTCATTGACCGGCACCCGGAACTGACGGGCAGGTACGCTAACGCGGTTGAGGCCGGCCTCGCCGTTGCTCTCAAAGAAATGAACCTTCTCCCTTGGTGGTACTGGTTGATGACGCTCAGGGTACGTCTCATCCTGACGACGCTCGATGTGTCTCTCCGCGTTTCGGACGAGCATGCATGCAGACGGCAGCGTGGCGAGTTTTCCGGTGTCGGTGGTTGGAATGTCTCGCAAGACGCAGCCAACACTGCCGTTGTTGAGAATGTATCCAAGGCCGAACTTGTTACTGTAGTCTACCCACTTGACGACAACGTGTGGGTGTGGTGGTGTCTTATCCTTGGCCGAGATGATGGCCATCGTGCGTGCATTTAATGCCCGTTCCAGTTCAGCCTGTAACCGGCGTAGTCGGTCTAGGATGATATCCGGTTGGGAGCCCGACACTGGCACCGGATGTTCGGACGGGCTGAATAGTGATGTCAGGTTTGCTGCTCTTGAGGTCTGGCTGGGAGCTGTCATGGCGTTATTGCTACTGGAAGATGAGCCGAGGCTCATGACCGCCATGCTAGACAGCGCCTTGGCCAGCGGCGCTTTCCTGACAGTGGACGTCTTCTGTGGCGGATGTTCGAGCGTCTTCGTCGGCTGCTCAGGCTCCGGTTCGGATTCCGTATATTGCCTTACCACTCCTGGCCTGACGGTCTGCGCTGCTTGCAGGTTCGCATCCTGCTGTGTTCTCACTCTGGCCGTACTTGGCAAGGCAGCAGGCCGGCTCTGGGCCCTCTGTTGAGCCGCAAAGCTTTGTGGAGGCGCTCGCATCAGACCACCACTGGGTGCTGTCTGAGACGCGGCCAGATGCGGCTCGGGCCTCCCCTGCGAGCGTAACAACGAGTGGCTTAGCACGCCCCCCTGGTGCTGCTTCTGCTCCCTCAACCATTGGTCGAATGGCCTATAAACCACATCGGGTGCCAGTGGGATAGCTGGTGTGAGTCCAGCTTTTTCTTCCGCAGCCATCTCTTTCCACGTTTGCGTATGGATAACCTGGTGCTGAGACCACGGACCTACTCCGCATTCGTTGCACATGCCTTTTAGATTTTGGACCGATGCCGCTCGAAGCCTCGAGTCCAAGCGGGTCGTGTAGAAATGGGGATCGTCCGGAGGCAAAGTGAGGAGTTTCGGCGTCATGTCCGCATCGACAGGCATGTAGCCAGAGGTGAAGAAGGGGTGTTGAACTATGGTGTCTGGGTCTGGTCTCCTATCGGCATCCTCAAGCATTGAGGCGACGATGTCCTTCGCTTCCAGGCTAATGTATTTTTGTGTAGTCTCTGAGCTTGGCCATTCGTAGTCTCGTTCCCGAGCTCGGCGGTAGATTTCTTCGGTGCTCGTAGACTGGAAGGGAGGCTTGGACGTGAGCATGGCAAACCTGGATCATGTCAGTTGCTTTCAAGGGACGGCAAAGGAAAGGAGGGGAAACGAGGAGACTAGTGCGTACATACATTATAATACCCAGGCTCCATATGTCAACCATATGGTCGTGTCCCTTCTTGCCTTTTTCCAAAATCTCAGGCGCGATATAATTGGGTGTCCCGCACAAGGTCGTCCGACGAATGGTGTGCATGTCTTTGCCAGTGACGAGCAGAGCAGCCAGGCCAAAGTCGCCAACCTTGGCATTCATATTGCGGTCTAGGAAGATGTTGCCCATCTTGAGGTCACGGTGGATAATCCCCTTGTCGTGCATATACTTGATGGCGCCAGCTACTTGAACCGAGTAGAAGCGAACCTCGGGCTCCGTCAGCCCTCTTCGTTTCTTAACCATGTCCATGAGAGAGCCGTTGGGACAGAGCTCAAGCACAAGATAGGTACAGTTTTCGTAGGAAAACGCGCGGAGGAACTGGACGATGTTCTTGTTTCTCATCTTCGAGTGAATCTGCAGCTCGGTTTGAAACTAAACGCAGAATGCAACGTTAGGAACAGGGCGGGCAAGGTCCTTTCAAATGGGGTAGACGGGACAATCTTACCTTTTGCTGCATTTTTGATGGCATCTGGCTCTTGACAATCTTCAGAGCATACTTATGCCTCGTCGGCAACAAGTACCCCTGATAGCAGATGGCGAAGCCGCCTTTGCCAAGCATCTTGCCAACCTGGTAGACGGCCCCATCAGGACGGTCGACACTACTCGGCTCAAGAACATTATCCGGCGGCGGCGGTGGGTGGTCCTTCTCCTTCGACACCTTGAGTTGGGGGGTGGCCTTGGTCTTCACGTCCATGGCTTTGGGAACCGTCTGTCTCGCATTTGCATCCCTAGGCGACAACGCTTCCATATCGACGCCTCCTTTGGCCAGCAACCTGTGGGTCATATTCCCAGAAAGAAAAAAAAAGACGTAGGAAATCAAGTCTCGCCTATGATCAGCGTTCTTTCGATGTTTTGGGAGTCACGGTGGCGGAAAATCGACGCGTCTCGACGTGTCTCGATGAGGTTGGATGATAAGGACCGCCGTGGAAGGTTATCGGACGTAAGGAGTCTCTGCCAAATTTAGTGGGGAGTTGACTCTCGTACCGGTAAGACGTCTGGAGAAGATTCATATAGGGCGCTTCCCCTCCCCCCGTCGTCGGAGAAAGAACCAACTTACAGCTTCGGCTGGGAGACCATGTGTCCAGGAATATCCAGGCCAAAGTCAATAATCCCGAAACACGACCGGGAGTTGTCGAACCAAGTGACGATGCCCTAAATCGAAGATGGGCGTGGAAGCCGGGCGACTTGCGGCTATAGAAGGGGCGTGGGCCTGGGTAAAGAAGAAGCTTCAAACTTCCCGTTGGCGGAGTCGCGGAATTGTGTACATTGACGGTGAGAGCTGTATTGACTTTGTGAGTACCTACCCAAAGGTACCTGGCACGGTTGCCGTAGAAACACGGCACAAGAAACGGTCTATGGCTGATGGTCTTCTCCACAGCTTGATTCCCAAGGTGGAATAGCGTTGTCCAATTGATCTCCACCTTTTCTCGTGGGAACATTCGTCGTCAAACAACTCGAACGTCCGGTGGCTCACCGAGCCTGGCCGACAATGCGACAGGGAATCACGGAGGGATCACTAAAGTAGAGGGGCCCCGTCCAACAAAAAACTGGCCGGAGCTTCGGCGCTCTTAATTGACCGGACTGCCGGCATCCACCATCCTCCGTTCAACAACCCGTCGACCGCCGACATGGTGCCTCTACCCCTCTTCAAGCTTGCGGCACTTCTTGTGCGGCATGTCTCCAAGTATGGCGCGGTATGTACAAGTCAAAATCCCCTCGGATCGTATTCGATCGGTTCCGCCACTATTCCGCTTTAACAGTTATTCGGGCGTTGGCAGGGCGTTGGCAACTAAACCCTTTCTGCAACCGTAGAACCAAATCAAGGCCCAGGCCCGCGAGCACCCGCGGTTCCGCCAGCTTGCCGCTCGGTACGGGCAGGCTATCCACCAATTCAACATGCGCGCAAACGTAGCCCTCCTCCGGAACCAAAAAGCCGAGGAAAAAGCAAAAGAGAAAGAAAAAGCCGAAGCGCCGACCGTCAAGACGAAAGAGGAGATCGAGAAGGAAGAGGAGAGGAAAGCGAAAGAAGCGAGGAAGGAAGCGGAGATGCACAGGGAGAAGGGGCGAGAGTCGAGAGGCGACGGGGCCAGCATATTCATGCGGCGGCCGGGGCACTTCAAGGTGTTCTCGGCGCAGAACGTCTGGCGGCGCAAGTTCCGACCCCTTCCGGAGGCCAAGGCCGTCGACCTGTTCGCGGACGTGGTGGGAGATGCCTTCATCTTGGGCGTCGCCGGCGGGCTCATCATCTACGAGTACTGGAAGTCGACCCAGAAACCGGATCACAATTTGGAGAGGATCAAAGACCTGGACGCCAGGCTAGAGGAGTTGAAGAAGCGGGAGGACGAGCTCGAAAGGCGTGAAGAGGAGCTTGAGACGGCTGAGCGGGAGGCGAGAGGTCGCCTCTCGGTTGTGGAAGAGGCGCTGAGGACGCTGAAGGATCCGAAAACAAAAGGGCCCCTGTTACCACCTGCTCCGCAAGAGAGCTTGTCGACCTCAATACCAACGCCTTCTACGACATGAGTACGAGTGCTCGACAACCCCCCGTTCTTCTGTATAATTTTTTGTCATGTACATCACGATTCACTCTACTTAGTAAGACCGAAAGGGGGCGAGGTTGTGCCGATAGACATAAGGTAGAACATATACGATACAACAGGCGGTGTTTCGGTTGTTCCTGTTCCTGTACATACATAAGGTAGGTAGGTACGGAGGACAAAAGCGATGGTAGCTTCCTACCTAAGGTACCTAAGGTAAGGTACATAAGGTATAAGCCATTGTCTTGTACTTCACCGACTTTCAACACACTTCAGTTTATATCCACTCTACCTTATTTGGGGAAGGGGCTACTGCCGTCTAGACCGTTCATTCCGCAACGCATCTCAAGTATTGTACTGCCGTACTTGTAGGCAGCTAGAGTACGGGTCAGGGCATGGGAAACCTAAGACGGAGGCTTCTATTTTCCATCTGAAGCTGAATATCTGCCCCCTTTCTCTGGAGCAAAACATTCTGGAGACCCAAGTCACTTTAGGAGGTCGAGTCGCAACAGGCAGCAGCTCCCAAATTCGTTGAGGATTAATGTCAAACTGTACCAAAGTCGCCCTTCGGAATAAGCATCAGAAACCTCGAGACGCCATGGCCAGCCGGGAAATCTCACCAACGATTTCTTCGTCTCTCCGCACGCATAGCGACTGGGCTGCCGTCGTGCCTATGCTCTCGAGGATGCGTGAGATCCGGTTCAGCGGTAAGCACGCACGGCGCGTGAGCAGCTCGTAGGTTTGCCCGAAGACGGCTAACCTGGACCAACTTCCAGAAAGCCCGCTGGAACCTCACGATATCTTGCTCCCTGTAGAGAATAAGGGAGCGACGTCGGGAATATCGATGCGCATCATCCTCCTTTCGCCAAAGGACCTATGCGCCCTGGGCACAAACAGGCGGCTCGAGTGGCTAGTGCGGCAAACCGGGGGGAAAGATATAGCCATCATTTTTCTGTTGACCGCTCCCGAATCTGTCATTGACTTTACCAAGTTGGAACTAGAGCAAGTGCCTGTTCCGACTCCCCGTTCCCTCGAACCGAGATAAGATGACTTCATCTCTCCATGGGCGGTTCGCCAATCTGACCAGATGTGTATACAGCGTCGCGAAGAAATTTGGCTTCATTGCCGTCATCCCAGCTGTGTCGATATCCTCCCTCCCGAGTCTGTTAGTATCAGTGGTACAATTTTCTGGATCTTTACAGGCGGACTCGATGGCGAGAAACCCCGTACGCGGCGCTTCCAACACAGGGGTCTTGCTTGGGACCTGCGTCAAGGGCCCGCCACTGTCCGACTACCAGACCAGTGCACTGGCTGAGATAGCTCCCGACCTCCAGCATCTCGCCAAGCTAGTCGCAACAAAAGAGGGAAAGGCAAAGGTCATGGACTGTCTCGGTACTGAAGACGGTGAGCGGCTCCTCACGTTTGCTTGCGGGGACGGCCGCCTGTAGTCCTATGTCGAACTTGACATGTCAGTGAGAGGACACAAGATTATGCGGCTGGTATGACCAGATCATCACCAAAGTAGGACTGTGCAGGTTGGAATTTGAGAACTGGGGACCTCTTCGTGAGCACGCACCTTGCGCTGTATTTGAGAAGCCATCGTGCCGGGGACAGCCAGCTCAGCTTAGAATTGACAGGGGCACTAGCGAAAAGCAGAGGATATGCTGGATTCGTCTATCACACGCAGACCGCTAGTGGCCCTCGTGGTGTGGTGAGTGACAACACGGATGAGTGGTGAGTGAGTGACAGCTCCACGGTACCGGAGACTCAAGGGTGCCACACATTCTATGCAGTCCATAAGGGGTCTGACCAGTGAACTACGGATATGAACTACGAGCGCCAACCAAGAAGATAATGGCTCCACGGGCTTCTTCTATATTGAGCTCAGTGGATTCGCATCACAGACAGATCTGGAACAATAGAACCATAACACCCTGACACAGAGAAGAGATCTCTGCAATATGGACCGCTTGTCTTACTCGTCGAGATCCACCATGCATATCAACGGGCAACCAAACCACGATGCTGGCTCAGCGTAGGTAGACCCAGATGTGATGGATCTGGGCACATACATGCACGCCAAAAATGGCATGATGAGAAAATACCCCAGCATCTAAGTTCGTGATTACCTTGCATGGAAGCGAGGTGATAGCCACGAGTAGTGGTGGTGGGCAGCCAAGGGAAGTGAGTGGGCGGTCTTTCTCACCCCCTCCCCCCCTCCCCAAGGACCCTGCTTTGCGAAATGTCAGTTAGCTGGAAAGATGACAAAAAAGACCTTGAGGGAATGTCTGCCAAGTTGACCGGATGGTCTCTATGGATTTATAGGTTAATCAATGTGACCATTCCATACTCCGTACGTACAGATGCAGAACACCGACACAGGAAAGTTCGTGTAGGTTCGAGTGTTATCGCTCCAAGCAAGCACGTCCCCGGTCCACGAAACATGTGATGGGTTTGGGGAGGAGGGAACAGACCCGGCAACCGATGTCCCGAGCAGTTGAGAAACACGAATGGTCAGCACCCCTTGTACCCTGGCCCTCCTTGGCCCTTGCTCAAACGAGACACGCCTCAGCCACGTTTATGGAACAGCCGCCAGTCACGTCACAGACCTTATTGTATGTATGTCATAATGTCTGGGTTCGAAGTGCAAGAGGATAATAATTACAAAGTCGAAGGGAAGCCGTGATGATATGTATTTCTTACGAAGGCGGGCTGCTCAATGTACACGTGTAGTAGTGCCCAGATACGATTTGCTTATTTTAGGTACGTACAGCCAGGTATAGGTAGTACGGAGTTCGGACGAGGTATCCGTAAACGAGATATCGGTACAGATAGAGTGAGCTGCTCCAGCCACCTCTCGCAGCTTGAAGATTGAAGAAAAAATTCCATTGAGTTCAGGTATTGTTACGTGAGGTATGTACTATAGCGAAGAAGGTAATGGCAAATACTTCTGAATCCCACTACTAACCAGCAATGATTTTGGTACCTTCAAAGCCCAGCCACTCCAACCCGTCGAGCTTGTGAATAAAGTAAGGTAAGGTTCCTTAACTCCGTAAGGTACCTAATAAGGCACGGAGTTACAACGTACAACGGTACCTTAGGGGCTGGCGGGACCATCCTTTGCCCCATTGTCGCATGGACCCCGCCCTAGCCTGCATGAGAGGCGGCGGCAAGGGCTCTCATTGGCCTGCCCAGCCTCTCTAACCGCCCGGGGTTCTCCAATCACGACTCCCCTCCCACATTCTGCATCCTTTCCACCCATTCTTCGTCCCTCTGGCCTCGTCTATTTCTCCTCTTTGCCCAGATGTCGACCCAAGCCCATATGGTTCGATACTCTCGCCACGCCGCAAAAAAGGCTCTACCACTCAGGTTCTTGATATCATGATGTGTGTACCTCGAGCGGTCTAGCGTCTTTGTCTCGGGCCAGTCGCTCATCCTCGTGCCTCGTTGCCAACGCGGCCCGGGTGCCCTAAAGAGAAGCGCCAAGCTGCATTTTCGCTCGCGTCGCCAGTGAGATCTCGGGGCCCAGTCTGAAGATGGACATTCTCGGGGTTTTTTTTGTCCTGAGTTGAACGGAAGGTACCGTTCATTCCGTACATTGCGTACATTGCGTACATTGCGTACGTATCCGTAGGTCTTGTCTGCGAGTCCCAGAGGGCGATTACCCCCCCGGACCCGCCCGTCTTCGATCTCGCACTGCGTCTCTTGAATGTTTCAATAACCTTCTTCTTCCCCCTTTCCCATTTCACAAATTCCCGCCTGGTCTGCTTCATCATCGTCCCTGGAAACCATCCTGTTTGATCGTCAAACGTCGTTCATGCACCGAACCAAAGAAGAGCCCGACGTCCGTCCAGATTTCGATACCCCACATCATAGCGCACCGACGTTTGGTACACCATCTCGCTTCATCTCACACACGACCTTTACTCCGTACTAGCACTCGGTGCACAGGCACAAGGGCCACAAGGAAGAGCGAACAGGCGGAAGAAAAAGAAGGGCAGAAAGAAAGGACATACCGGTCTGCCAGCACGCTTCTTCAAGGCGATTGAATCCTCTACCGTCTCGCAGAAGACCCCTGTGCGAGCGAAGAAAGAAAAAAAAAAAGTCTCTTCTCTTAGCCGTCTAGAACGTCCTCATGCCCACACGGATACCCGCTGCCATCATAGATCTGGTCGCGAGAACCTAGTCCAAGGGGAAATCAATCTTGGATCATCGCATTCTTCAACCGTCAACGTCACACCCCAGTCGACAGTCGAAACCGTGACAGTTTACCCTCGGCTGGCCAAGTTTCTGCTACCCATCTCGGTCTTGCCCCCGGGCAACGGCCGGCCCTCCCCCCACACGCAGAGAGGCCTGACTTGGGCTGTGCGCCGAATCTCCGGTACTTTGTCCCCCTTATCAGGTTTTCGTCTCAATATCGACCCCTTCAGACCCGCTCGTGAACAGGGTGGTCGTCTGATATATCCCCGGTCGTCCTCCCATCATCTTCTCTGCCTTTCCAACTTATTGACCTGGCGTCGATAAACCTTCTTTTCATATCGGCGCTTTATTCACTTCGACGTTCTTTTTTTTTCTTCTTTCTCTTCTTTCCCTTCTACTCCCACAGGTCTGGTACCTATTTTCCTTCCTTTCTTGTGCGTCTGAGGCGTCCCTTTTCTTGCACGGCTGGATCGACTTTTGGGTAGCTGTGCTTCCTCTCTTTTTTACAATCTCATCTGGAAGTATTGGCGGTGCCGGGTCGCTCGCATCTCAGTCGACGCACATCCAACGAACTCGAACTCGAACTCGAACTCGAACGCCAAACAATTCATTCGCTGGTCCGTGGAGCGTACTCGGCGACGAAAGGGGAACCACCGAAAGTCAATCATTATTGCTAGGAAGAAGGGGCCCACTGGACGAAATTGAGAGAAGAGAATCACGGAGCAAAGGCAAAGGACCCAAATCATCGGAATTAGGAAAGAAAGAGGTCAGGGAAATTAAACGGCAAGGTCGTTAAAGCAACATGGGTCGCCTTATCAAGAACCATTGGGCTCGTCTCATCGTCATGACGGCAGCAGCCTGTAAGTCCCCCACTTCAAAGATTCGCGTCGTCAAAAGGGATTAGGTTGGGAACTCGGGATGGCTAACACTGGAGGTAGACCAAGTTGCTGCCGCCATCGAGGGCTTCTTTTGGCCCAAAATCTTCTGGGACTTCCTCACGACGACATTAGACTCGGCAGTGAAGCCAGTTCCTGCGCTACAGGTCATAAATCTGGTGTTGGGGATTTTCATGTTCCTACTAGAGTGGCCTCTTCCTTGGATCGCGGGCTCCGCCATCCATCGCAGCCTCGAATTCCGCCTCGTCTTACTTCCCCTTACTACCCTGGCGGCTTCTCTCTTATATCAGGCCACCAACCCGGCAATCTACTACATCGTTGCCTTGGTCATTTATTTCTGGGCCTATAGCGAAGGAGAGGTGAGCATCAGGCCGTTCATTCCATTTCCCCTTTCTCTCGCGGGCTCTTCCATTAACAAGTTTCTAGCTCATCTGCGCTAAGCCCTGGACACTCCCTCAACGGGGCGGCCGTGGTCGTGCCTAAAGAACGGACCCGGTCAAGAGGTCACCAGAGACGTCTTGACTCACATGGGACTTGCTTTCTATCACATGGAGTCGGTGTCGTCGACCTCGAAGTTCTCCTGCCCGACCACGATATTACCCGAGGAAGGACCGGCAGTATGGAACGGCACGGCACCTCTGTACACCAACAGCAGGCATTCACCAGCCAACAAAAAAATGGTTGGAAATGCTGGGAAGGAGAGGTAAAGAGAGGAAAGGGCCCTCAAGACAACCGTCATGCAATCTCGCCTGTCTTGGGCGCTTGATTGCATGTTTATTCTACATTATACAGCGTTTTTACATGTCATTTGAAATTTTTAATCAATACGGCATCAAGCACCGGGCGTTTTTGGTTCTTGATTTCGCATTTGCATTTCGCATCCAAGGCATATCATGGAGCGGAGCGAGCATCGGGTTGGCAAGGCAGGTTTGGGAACGAGGGACAGACAACGCTTTTCCTTGTATGCTGGGTCTGATACCCGGATCAGACGCGACCCGAGACGGGGCATGAAACGGTGGAGCAAAACGGTGGTAGGGGCGGGCCAAGAGATGGCTATGGGGAGAAGACCTGGACCTTGCCGGCTTTGAAGGCCTTGTTATCTCAGCGGCTCGTGGTAGCGAGGGCACCACTCCTTTTGTCATAGCCTGACATCCTCTTCCACGACCAGAAGGGCAAAAGGTGCCTGCGCAGGGTGAACGGCTGATAGCAGACAGAATACCATGCCTTGGTTTGACGACGAAAGAATGCCCCCTTGACTAAACTGCTGACTTGATTCCTATGAAATAATACGTAGTTCCTCGGCCATTGTTCCGTGTGGTGGGGGTATATGCAGCTGAGACGCTCGACGTTGTCGGGGCATTTTCTGTGTGGACAAGGGGTTGCACAGACGGCTACGGTTTGGGTCCGAAACGTGTTGGAAACAGACAGGCAACGGGGCAACACGCTCGGCAGTGGACCGTGGGTAAGATCCTCCACTCCCCCATACCCTTCTGTGTAAAGGTACTTAAATAGCACATGCCCTGGTTCCTTTGTAAGAGGGACCCATGGCACACGGCTTTCATCGCTTTGAACACGTTCATGCAGGCATTCGGGAGGAATAAAACATCGTGGCTTTGGTGGACGGACTGTGGTTCATTTATTATTAAAGTGGGTTTACATAAGCCGGCTGGCTGGCTGGCTACCTTGCCAAGAGACTCTATTACCAAGGGCCAGGGGAGTGGCTAGTGCCGGGAACCTCTCCATCTCCCAGACAACGTCCGAAATGATAAAACGAAAACCCGCCGAGTCCAGCAGAACGCTCTTCTTATTTTCGGCGGCAGTGTCTCAATAAAAAGGGCGAGGAGGTAATAAGCGTCGCTACCAAGAAGCGAAAATTCCCGAAGCGGACCCCGCGGTTCTCGGCACCCGAAAAGTCGACCTCAGCTCGGGCCCTGCACATCAGCGGCCGCCGGTGAGTTGGGGTCCCTCGACGGTGTTCTTGGACCCATGGCGAGCGGGAAACTTTGCGAAGCGGTTCTCGTTAGCATTCTCTAGTCGCTGTTTTTGTTCACAGGGGATGAAGCGGCGAAGGCGATGTGTTTGGGGAAAGGGAAAGGAGACACAGCTTTGCGCACGTACCTCATGAGTCCGGAACTCTCCCTTCTCCAGGATCTGCTTGATGACCTCTTCATCTATGGATGTGCCGAATTCATTCTCCAAAGTCGCCCTAGAGGCCGCGTCGAATGTGCCTTGGTTTCCTTGTCTGTGATTTGTCTCGCGTTAGTTGCCCGTTTCTCGGGTTGTTGATTCGCAGTAGCTCCATCTCACAGGCGCATGCGAGCAGCCAGGCTGGGAGGGTCTACTAAAGAGCAAGCGGACCAAACCAAACCAAACCA